TTACTTTACTGATTACTTATTTTCAAAAGTAATTAATTACTTAGTTACTTTTTAAAAACACGATTTACAACCTGAAGAGGTGATAAAGCGATAGATCTTTCAGCCCAATTCTACTTTTTCTGCATAATCCATCATACAAAATGTAATCAGATGGAAAAGTCTCTTTTTAAAACTTGTTTTATTAGTTTTAATCTTTTAACTTTATGCATCAAGCAAAACATTTAATTATTGCAACATTCTCTGACTGGAAGAAATTAGTTTAACATTTAAACCTATTTTCTGCACATTCCAGCACATAAAATAAATATTTTTGTGTTTACACTCAGTCTTTCAAATAGATGCAAGTAAAACACAGCAGAAAATAAATAAAGTCAAAGACTAGCGGTCCTGTTGCTCTATTTTCACCTGTAAAGCAGGAGTGGGGAGGCGGAGGTTTACCCTGGTGCAGGTGTGCCGCGCGTCAGTGGAAGAATCCGCGAGTTTCTCTGTGAGTTTCCCATTACGTCGTGCACTCGGTGCTTGTTGGAAGTTTAGGGGTTTTTTCGCTGTAAAAAGAAGTTTTCTTCCCACGCACGAGGGACACTAATGTTTTTGTCACTTTTTATGGAATCAAACTCAAAGTAAGGTCAGTACTTCCACGCTTTAAACGCTGCACGCTCATACTCTCTCGCACTCGATATGTGATCCATTGTTGATCTGCACACAGCTGTTGTCACTAACGGCGCACTCGCTTACGTCACTGTCGTGAGACATTCTCGCAAAGAAATCACGGTTTTAGTAACGCAGTAACGCAGCGTTCCTACGGGAAAGTAACGGTAATCTAATTACCGTTTTTGCAATAGTAATCCCTTACTTTACTCATTACCGTCTCTGACTACCACAAACATGTACTTAAACAGATAATAGCTGGAGTTTTAATCTGCAGGAAGGGCAGCTGCAGCTACATGCACATCCCCGTGCATCCCTGCAGGTCGCTGCCTGAGTGGGAGGAAGATTGTTGGTTAGCACGGACACGTGCAGCAACGCCACGACACATCTCGCCAACTCTCAGCACTTAAATACTAATTACTGACATCGCTGAGAGAGCATCAGACAAGCGATGATCACTTGACTGATGGTTACAGTAAGTGCCGTGACTCAGTCCAGCACGGCATTTCAGTAATGACTTGATCTTTCTTCAGCTGCTTTGATGGGCTCTGTCTTTACAGTTTCACCGACCTGCAGTTTGTTCTTGTTTGAGCCCAGTTCATGGAGCCTGTTTTGCTTTTTCCCTCGACCAGGAAACACGGACTCATTCTCACACTCGCTGCTGTTTCAGAAAGCTGCGTCGCTGCTCCTTCCTCACTGTCATTAACTCATGTTTCCCCTTTGGACAGAGCAAAGGTGCCTGGACGTCCCCGCATGCCGTCCAAACCACGCTGGCTTCCACATGGCAAAACTCTTTCTGTTTCCATAGTAACTCTGCCGTTACAGGGAGAGGAGCACGTAGGAGGTTGAGGTGGGCGGGTGGACGATGGAGTGGGTCGGTTAGAGAAAAACGTTCACTACATTGTGATATGTTAACAACTAACAGCCTGTCAAGGCCAACTGTAATGAGAACCTTCTCAAAGCTCCACTCTGTGTGCACGAGTCTGTGCGAGCGCGCACGTCGTTACACTCTGATGTGGAAAATCATTTCAGTGGGAACTGCTGCTCTCTCCTGCTGCTTAGTGAGTGGATGACGCTGGATTTGACGAGTGGGAGGAATAAAATAAAAAGGAAAGTGACCAGTAGAGAAGAGCAGCAGAGTGCTCGTATCCTACAATCATTACACTGTCATGTTTTTATATGAAGCCACGCCAATCCAAAGCAACTATGCTTTTCCCTCTGAGTCACAACTCTGGGGTTTGCTTTGTTTTCAGGTTTGGACACGCACAGTGAGGGAGACAAACGTGATTCATCCTTTCACAAACTCATGAAATGCATCCTTCACTTTCACTTTCAAAGAACGTTTCTGACCCGTGAGGTCGCAGAGACATCCAGGCACTGATACTCACAATAATACGTGATATTGCTGCAGGCGCGAGGGCACCGAGTCGTCCCTCAGGAGCGGTGAGGCTGGCTTTCCACCATGCACTGGTTCCCTCTCTTGCAGGTTCATCGGTGCACGTTTCCCTCCTCCTCGCAGAATCAGAAACTAAGTGGTGTCTTTGTGTGCTTCAGAAACATGGTAGCTGACGGTCCTCTGGAGTCCGTCCAGGTGTTTGGACGTAAAACCCACCACAGCAGTTTCCCAGTGCTGGAGGGGGACGTCCTGATCAGGGTGAACGGCAGACCTGAGGAGAGGGTGGAGCCTGCTACGCTCCAGAACAAGCTTCTGGAGCCAGTGCTGCGGAGCGGTGGAGCGTGGCACCGCACAGATCTACACCAGCCATGTCCACAGCCCTGCTTGCATACTACCAGAAGGATGTGGATGAGGCCTCTGAGAAGGAGATCCAGGACATCCTGATCCAGTACGACAGTGGTGATTTTCCTTCTTTTACCTGATGTGCTGCTTTTGACGATGGCTGTGTAATGATCCCGATAAAGGTCAAAGGGCACAACATGCAAGTTACATAAAGCACAAGTTCTTAGAAGTATTTGCTTCCCGTCCTTACACTGTCCCGGCAGAAAGCCCACTCTGCTATCAACATCAAAGGTGTGCGATGAAAGGAGCGATGGGACCGAGGGGAGACGCAACAAACCAAGGTTACAGAGCATGACATCACTCGGGCCCACTAACCGTGGATTCAGCTCTGCACTCAACACTTTGTGCAAATGCACGACAAATAAGCCGGTGAAACGGAGGCATTAGAGAGAGCTCAAAGTGAAGCAGTGCTGCAGAGCTGCTCTGAATCTGACTAATCATTCTCTTTGTGTAATCTCATCATATGACCTGATGGAAATGCAGTTTTAAAACACCTTCAGATTAGCTGGAATTGGCCTCATTTCAGACACACACACACACTTTGTGCTCATAAGTCCCATGAGACTTATGAAGGGTAAATCTGAGCTGTGCGATCTGTTAAATCCAACTCCTTTGGATTTAACAGATATGCAGGTTTTCCCAGTGTTCTCGCTCCAAGTGTTGTTCAGGTCCAACAGCCTCGACGTCTCTCACAGCCACAGGACTAAACTCTCTCTCATCATCATCTTTTCTTTGGCTTCATCCTCTTTAACCTAAAGAAACATTACAATTAAAATGCCACCAGCATTTCACTTATTAAACTTACTAAACATGAAATTCAGCTTAAGAAGTGAACATGCGTCATTATTCACACCGGCTGTTTCCTGCATGTAGTCCAGGACACAGCGTCTGCCACATTCATAACAAACAGCAGTTAAACTGCATTTGTATGGGTCAGTTCTGTATTTAAACAGACAGTGCACCCTGCTGTCTGCTGCTCGTTCACTAACAGCACAGCGTGGTGGTGGTGCACAGACCGGCTGAACACAGGCGAGCAGGCTGACGTACGCTGCACAATAACAATGCATTTGGCTTCAACACTTGTAAATGCTGTGACACAGACTCATCTCTGGCTTTCTTGCTACATTGCATCTGTATTCACACAGAGTGAGGTCTAAATACAGGTGGTGAGGTAGAACAAGCAACAGGTTTAACTAGAAACATGAAAAACATAGAATAGCATCAGTGTAGCTTAAACTCACTGGGAAACTTGCTAGCAGTTTAGCATGACAGCATGGGTTCAGCGTCTCTGTAGCAAACCACTAACCCCCTGCACTCCCTGATGCTGGGGCCTCTCTCAGCACACTGAAGGATTAAGCTTCCTGCCACAAAGCAAAGACGGTTCAGGAACGCTTTGAGGAGCACAACAACAAGCTGGCTTTGACTTGGCGTCCTGTGCTGGACAGACACGCCTGATCTGTGGAAGCCCTGCCTCACAGCTTAGCACGATTTAGCAGGTAGTCATGATGCTTTGCCTGATCAGACTATACTCCAGCTTCCTCCCATAATCCAAAGACATGCAGTTAGTGGGGTTAGGATACTGAATGGGTTCATATTGCCCAGAGGTGTGAATGCAAGTTCACATGTGTGCTGGCCGTGACTGCTGACTGCTCCCGGGACAGATCCAGCCCCCTGTGACCCTGATGAGGATAAGTGGAGGGAGGGTGGATGGATGACACCGATCATTCATCCATCCACCCTCAGCATTTTCACTACTCAGCACCTGCATTATTCACCAGATCTGCCTCCCCACATCACCTATGTGTCTCCAAAATGAGTAAATGAGAACACCTTTATACGAGAGACAAAAGCACAGCGACAGAGCAGGACTGTGTAACGTGCACGCCGACAGCGGTCCAAAGGTGCACGAGGAGATGATCTTGAAGCAACATTTGACCAAATTAAAAACGAGTCTTATTTATTTATTTGACACGCAGAGTGTTACTGGACCAATGTTCTTGTTTTAGATCTGAGTTCTGCCTACATATCCCACCATCAGCAGGAGAGTGTGTCTCTGACTTTACAGCACATGGTTGGGTTCACCCAACACCCCTCAACCTAAATCCACAGTGCAGCCCTGAACCTGGACCGTCAGTGTAACATTGTTACACGTGTGTATGAGCCACCTATTAAAGTCCTTTCAATGTCAGACTTTGTCTCACACACACACACACACACACACAGTGACCATAACAATAACAGATATGAACGCTCACTGTGCTCTGTTACACAGCGTGCTTTCACCCATGACCTGCACATGTGATGATGATCAGACTTACAGGTGAGTAATAAGCTCAGTGTGTACAGATTTACTCTAAGGACGATGTCCTAACCCGATCCAGCTGGAGTGCTAGAGGACGTGTAAGGGTAGCAGGCAGAGTGAGCTTGTTTTGTGTAGTGAGCTGTGTGTGTGTGTGTGTGTGTGTGTGTGTGT